GAAACTTTAATATTTTATAGATGTATAGCATATCTAATTGTGGTAAAAATTTGAGCCGATTTGAATCACTAGTTATTGAGATATTCATCTTCAAAGTTTTGCTAAAAATATCGAATTTTTTATACTATCGATTGTCGATTATAATCGATAATAATCATTATATATCAATTAAATCACCCAGATATGTATTGATGCATAGCACTTAAAAAATTTTCCTGATGTAACCTAAATAATAAACTTGATTATCTGGTAGTTACTATTGATTATATTACCCATATTAATTTTATATCATGGTATATCAACATCTATTCCATATTTGGACTAATTCGGAATCTTAATATTTACTTTTTTAGATATATTTCTTTTTTTTGTTTTTAAATATTTATATTAATAATTGTTTTAATCCAAGTCAAAAAAGTCTCTAAATAAAATAAAAAAAAAAAAAAAAAAGAAAAAGAAGGTGTAGTGACTTAGTGAAGTTGGCAAGTTGTCGCACCTCCAAGCAGCAGAACTAAAGTTCAAATCCCACTGGCGACGAAAATTCAAATTTAAGAAAATGCATTTGGAAGACTGTATCCTATTGGGTTATAGAACCTGTAATAGTGGTCGTACTAGCTTGTACTAGGAGGTAGTAGAATATATAGTGTGACGTACGAGTTACACAAAACCCAAGTGAAGCTACTGGATAAATCCAGCGAATTTACAGAGTACGGGAGCCTGCTTGGCAAGACCCGAGTAGAGAAGTAGCACAGATCTTTGACGGTACTATGTAAAGGATTATCAACCAGGAAACTGAAAACCTGAACGAGACTGAAGTATTTGGCAAGGCACTCCACCAACCTGGCCGCTGAAGAATAACCAGAGGAAAAGGACCCAACTGTGAGGACCAAGGGCAGGTCACAGCCCTTTCAGGCCATCTGGATTGGAAGTTTGGGATGACAGGTGTATGGAGGATAGTTCATATAGTGGGTGCTGGGGTTTGGATAAACTCTATAAAGGCGGTAGTAGGTAACGGTAATGGCCTTGGCTCGCAAGTACTTGTCCTCAGATTCGTCATAAGTTACCGAAAGTCTAGGTTAACTGGATTGTGGATACAGATAACTCTAGCAATGATGCATTGAGGATAAATTAGTTCTAAGGGTATAGGTAAGAATCCAGAACTTCGTAAAAATGTAACAGTAATACAGGAAGAGTTGCATTACAAAGGATTTAATTAGATAGCTCAAGTAATAGTGGTTATAGGTATAACATCTAGTGTAAAACCTAGCAATAGGTAGATACTTAATTAGATGCTCAAAAGACGCAGGTATGGCTAGAATGTACTCTCTAATGTATGGGATTGGGATGAGCCTCTCACTTGGTAAATACCTGAATAAAAACCTTAGTCTCAAAAAAGGCTAGTTAAAGAAAAAAAAAAAAAAAAAAAAAAAAAAAGTATAAAAAAAATAAAAAAAAAAAATACCAAAAAACTACATAATTAATAAACTAATCTTTTACAAAATAACAATAATCTACATAATTAATATAAGTAATATGATCAATAACTACTCCTAAATAATATAGTTATTATCTGTTAGAAAGAAAAAAACATTTAAACTAAAATGAAAAATATTAGTAATGCATCTATAAACAACAATAAACAAATATATATAGGGACTCCTACAGCAAAAGAGTCAAAAAATATATTTTTCTAAAATCAATTTTCTGAAGAATTAGAGTAATGAGCTTCTAATTTTTTTTTTTTTTTTTTATAGTTAAGGTTAGCCTCTTTGGCTTATCGCTTTTATTAGATATTAGGATCATGTGATGCCTTTATCAAAGGGGCCCAGACAAGTACATTCTGATGAAGATATATTCTAGCCATATCTGCACCTTTTGAGTGCCTAATTAAGTATACTACCTATGTGCTAGGTGCTACATTAGATGTCATACCTGTAACCCACTATTACTTGAGCTACACAATTAAACCCTCTGATCTGAGTTTCCTATGTCAATCCATCTAACCTCACCCAGAACATGCGATACATAAGTCAGTCCAAGTTCTGAGATCGTTGCATCTACCTATAGGACTATCGGCATGGTTAACTGATTCATTTTCAAGTGCATCACCTGCTAGAGCAGTCTGGTACCTACTGTTCCCATATTACCTAGTCTTCTTTGGTAACTTACACCTAGGCCGAGACCAAGTACTTGCGAGCTGAAGCTGCTACCGTTATCTACTACTGCCCTTATAGAGTTCACCCAAACCCCGATACACCTATAGACTTTTTCCGGTCATCTCATCAATTCCAAACTACCAATCCAGATGGCCTGGAAGGGCTGTGATCTAGTACTCTAGCTATAGCGAAAAAAAGTGTCAACCCATGTAGATTCTACTTGAACCACGTGATGATCGTCATGATTTGACCAATCAAAATTAACTACGGTGATATACAGTATCTTTTTTTTATATGATTTTTTTTATATGACTCTTGCGTTATCAATTTTTATTTCAATAAATTTGGTACATACATGTTTTTTTTTTTAGCTTGGCTTTTTTTTAGACGTACTTTTAGGCGAATTTTTCGCCTCTGAAGGCTCTCTCATTTCATTTGGTGTTTTCTTCTCATCTTTTCAGTGGGTTTTCCTTCATCTATTCGGTAGTTTTTTCGTCGTTCTTTTGGTGGTTTTTTCGTTGTTCTTTTGGTGGTTCCTTCGTTGTTTTTTCAGTGGTTCCTTTGTCATTCTTTCAGTGGTTCCTTTGTCATTCTTTCGGTGGTTCTTTCGTCGTTCTTTCGGTGGTTCCTTCGTCGTTCTTTTGGTGGTTTCTTCGTCGTTCTTTCGGTGGTTCCTTTGTTGTTCTTTCAGTAGTTCCTTTGTTGTTCTTTCGGTGGTTCCTTTGTTGTTCTTTAGTTAGTTTTTTCATCGTTCTTTTGGCGGTTTCTTCGTCGTTCTTTTGGCATTATTTGGTAGCTTTTTTGTCAGTCTTGGGTGGTCTTTTCGTCAGTTTTTTGGTAGCTTTTCACTGTTCTTTTTTTGGTAGTTTTTATCTTTCTTTTTGCCATTTTTTTGGTGGCTTTTTTGGGGGGTAATTTTTTTTTTTTTTGACTGGTATTTTGATGGTTTCTGCGTCATTCTTCTGGTAGCCTTTTCATTATTCTTTTGGTGGATTTTTCGCTATGTTATGATCATTTTTTAGCTAATGTTAAGGTCAATTTTGGTCAACATTGTATAATTGTGTAGTATAATTCGCATGCGATTACATAAAAATTTGTATAAAATTTTAAATAATTGTAATTAAAAATTTTTTAAAAAATTGGTTTACAGCTGTTTTAGCTGTTTTCATTAATTTTGAGATATCAGGTAAAAATTTGATCGAATGATTATTTGCTGGATAATTCAGATTAAGGATCTCTCTCAGTGTAATTAGCTAGCTATAGAAATTGTGCACAAGTCTTATGATTAATTGAAGGAAGATTCATGTTGCGAAATGTGGATATTAAATTTTAGTCAATCAATACAACTATATGATAAAAAAAAGATGGTCTCTGACCATCTTTTTTTTTTCATCGTGATAATGAACTCGTTTAACAAAATTATTTATTTTCCCTAAACTCAGACTTATTAATTTAGATGCCCTAAATATAATATTTTCGAAGCATATTCGCTAGAAAATATTCGAGCAAAATTTAAAAAGGTTGTCAATTCAAACAATTGCTAAAAACCTAGTCAGTAAATTAACCAATTTCAAAAATATGAATGTGTTGAAAGACTCCGCCACTTGTAAGAAACCACGTCTACTGAATCTGAATGATATAAAGTATCTTAAGACTTTTAATAAGAGAAAAGGTCGTTTAAAGACTTGTATTAATTCATATGCTTCACGTAAGTTTTAATTTACAATCGACTAGTAATCAATTTAAAAACTTACGTATATACGTACCTTGTTTTACCATTATAATAATATTTTATTGTACAAATTCGGTAATAAAATCTTTGAAAATTCGGCGTCCAATAAAAGTGTAATTACATGAGGGGAGAAAATTTTTTGTGAGATCCACGGGCGTTACCTCTTTCACATTTATCCCTTATTTAGTATATGTATTCAAAGCTCATTATGTCAGCCGAAATGCATAATCGATCTGAATTATGCATCTTATTTACTAGACCGGCTGAAAGCATAATTAATCGTGTATATGCACTAAAGTTCACTAGGTCAGCAGAAGAGCATAATCGATTTAAATTATGCATATTATTTGTTCCTTATTTAGTAAATTTATATAGAGTTTACCTGATCGGCCAAAGAGTATAATTAATCGTGTATATGTATAATTATTTATACCTTATTTAGTATGCATTTTGGTCGGCTGAAGGGTATAGTTGTTAAGATTACTATTCGAGAGACACAAAGTAAAAAAATTATAATAGATTGTAGAAAAAAGAAATTATAAACTGCAGCGAAATATAAAATTTAATTAATCAAAAAATATATTTAAGCGACGCGGTTTGTCTCAAGTAAAAAATTGTAAAAACTGATTTAAGTTTAAATAAAAATTCTCATTCACTTATTTGACTATTAACCATTAAGAATATTTTATTTAATAAACCCATAAATTAACAATTAAATCATATCGAAAAATTACATTATTGCTACATAATCTTCAACAAAAATGAGCAAAAGCAGTTCATCTCAAGTTTCTACTCAAAGCTCTGAAACCAAAAAATGCTTTTATTGTAAGAAGATAAAGAGCAAAGCTGATTTTTGTCGTCTTCGCAGTGATGATCTACTGTACGAACATGGAACCTGTAATATGTGTTTTGAAGAGCGTTCTAAAAGAAGACATGAAAAGAAGGCAAAGACAGATACCTACCTTAATTTAACAGTTCCAACCATTGGTACCTCAATTTCTAATGTTACAAATACTTATCAAGTCGATGACAGCCTTGAAGTTTATGATGATCGTGAGCCAACATCAGAAGCTAACCCCGAGTTTGCAAACGTGATACAAATTGAAGAAATAGAAGAAAACATTACTACTATACAAGATGATGAGTATAATGGTGATAATAATACGCTTTCATACTGTTTAGATGAAGTAGAAAATTTTGTTACTATACAGTTTCAGATCGCTGAGTCATCTAAAGAGCCCACAAAATTTGAATTTGAAATTGAATTGGACTCAGAACTTTTAAACGTCGTCGAGCTTGGTCAAGATCTTGATCTTGAGGACGGATCACTGGACTTGAAAAAAGTTAAAAAAAGCTTCGCACAAATTACTAAAATCCTTATTTTACCATTGAAATCTGGATCCAGATATTATTGGAATATATATAAGTTATGCTTGAATTTAAAAAGAAAAGCATTTACAGGACGTGCTACTGCATACCTTTACTGTGCATTACGTGACGATCGAATTTGGCAACGGCAAGATAATCAAGAGGTCAAAAGGCGAAGTGAAGCCCGCACTGCGATACAACGATTTCCTTGTGGAGGAAAAATTACAATTAGTATAAACATTCAACTACAATGCGCAAATGTACAATGTGAACATTTGTGCTTCCATGAATATCCGTCATTTCGACAAACCGAATTTCCAGAAGAAGCAAAACAATGGATCCAAAGACACCTTCAATACAACCTGCAGAGCTCAGTAATGTACCGACATCTCACTGAAAATAAATTAATTAACCCTATACATACAAAAGAACAAGTATATTATTGGGCATCAGTTTATAGTAAACAAGCTTATCTCACAAACCAAGATAATCAGCTTTTATCATCTAAGATATACCTAGAACGGCCTGAAATTTTATCTAGAGGGTTTAAAATTCTAACTCATTTTGATAATAATTTCGTGCATGCCTTAGGATTCGTTACTCCATTGTTTAGTCGAATTGGTGTAGAAAATATAACCGAAATAGTAATAGACTCTATATTTAAAACAAATCAAGAGTGATTTGAACTTTTTGTTGTAAATGCTAACTGTGGAGGATATGGTATGCCATTAGCATATTTATACCTACTTGTATCGCATAATCCTGAAGTAATATATCATTATCCGGAAGATGGAATTACTACCCATGTACAGGTTCTTAAACATTTCTTCTTCAGTTTTCGTCAGGAGGGGTTGTTGCCTTCATTTGTGCTATTAGACAAGGACGCTGGCAAAATTTTAGCTGTTGGTGAAGCCTGGTCCTGGAAAACAAATATTCAATTATGCTATTGGCATTTAGAAAATGCTATTAGTAAACGTTTAAAAGACAAAAAACCGCGATCAAATACTTATTCTCAGAAAAAGACGTTTGAAGCTCATCAAAAATTTAACTTCATCGACTCATCATGGATTCCAACTAGTAGCATTAGAAGTTTATGCTCAGAAGAATTAGCAAAAAAAATTATTAATATAATTAAACGGCATGCAAATATGCATCTGTTAATTCCAGTTGAAAAAAATGTTTTTTGGGATTCAGCACAGATCTATTACTATTGTGTGCAAGAAGTCTATCATTTTTGCTACAATCACGGGTGTTGTGAATTGTGGGGATATCTTTGGTTAAATTGGTACAACGGAAATGATTGGACACTGTTCACTTGTTCATCTTATTCCCGCGCAATGCCTTTAGCTCGAACTACTATGATTACAGAAAGCCATTAGCAGGTACTTAAATATAATTATAAATATAATTATAATAGGACTCGGCTTGACCATCTCACCAATATCCTTGTTGAACAATTAATTCCAGACTTCGATCTTATGTTAGCCCAGTATAATATGAACTGGCATTTTCCGTCTTGGTGGCAAGCCTTTAAAAAAGACTGGAATAAGACTAAGTTAACAAATATTGCATCTAATATGGACGAAAGGTACCATATAGACGTAAATAATTGGATATGTTCCTGTCCAGCAGATATAAATAGCCGTTACCTTCTCTGCAAACACTTAGTTGCAAAAAAAGAAGAAAATTTTTGGCCTACCTTTAGCAAAACAACAAGACGGCATGACTATCCATTAATTGTTTTCAGAAATAATAAGCCCCCAGCCATATTTTAAGAAAATAACCCATAGAGACTTGCTAATATAATCATTACGGAGAATTCTACTCTTGAAAATCCTATAACAGAAGGTAGTCGCTCTGGCAATTCGCGAAGCACATCAGTAATAGCAGGAGAAAATAAGATGAACGAAAGGCAAGAAAAGTATGCACAATATGTAAAGAAGTTTGAGAAGGCGTTAGAACTGTATCAAAGAGAAATGGATAATGATAATTTTATCAAAAACTTTGATACCTTAGTGGGACTGTTCGTAAAAGCAATCGGTGAATGTGAAGAAGCCTTGTGAGCTTATAGACAGCAAGGTACTCAAAGATCAAGCAATGAAAAGCTTGCTTTTTGGTTGCATTAGTAAAGTATTAAAAAACAATCACTATATCGAACATATTACCATTAAAGGCTCAATAACAAATTAATATTTTAAAGTATATAGTTTAGTTAACCGTACCGATCTAAATAAAAAAAAACATATAATTAATATTAAAAAATTTATAAAATTATTATATCATTGCAATAAATAAATAAATATACTTATATTAAATAAAAGTTTTTGCGTTGAAAAATTTATTATGCCATAGTAGAGAAATAAAAAAATTGTTTAACGTTAAAAAAAGTCTTAAAAAATTTATTAAATAGTGGTTTGCGCTGATTGGCCAAATCATGACGATCATCACGTGGTTC